CAACAAAACTCAAATATTTGTGGAAATTAATAAATTCCTAATTCAATTCATAATTAATTTACATTTAAACTGAGAACATTTTCCTCTTTCCGTTACTGCTAAAAAACAATTTATAACAATTTTTGAACATTAAATTAAATCTGACTTTTCTGATGGCATCCAGGGAATTATCATCCTGAATTCTCAATTAATTTCCGAGATTGCAAAATTGTTGAATTTTCATCTGAAACTCCAGAAATGTATAAGATTTTTAAAAAGAATTTCTTCCGGTATAATTCGCCTGTTCTCGTGCCTTGATAACACGATTCCATCACCGCAATTTTCGCCCATTGAAGAAAATTATTCCATCATGAATCAGCGAAGCGATATTCAACGAGAAACTACGAAATACGATGAAATGACAAAGTGGAGGGGTGAATATTTGTTCCATTGGAATAGGCTAGGGTTTTAGGGTTGGTGCGATAACTAAAGTCACTAGGGCGTGGGCACCCTTCAACCCAGCCTCGTAATAAGGAAAGTTTAAACCCGGTTGACTCTCGGCGCGTCCTCGGCATGTCCTCGGCGTGCCAGTGATGTCGCTGCGTTTTTCCTGACAAACGTTAATTGCGTTCCGCCTGGCCGCGCCGATTCGTTGAAAACGAGGTACACCATTGACTCATCCTCTTTCTTCCGAGGATCCTCAGTAAATCCAGCAAAATATATTTTGAAATTGAATGCAACGGGGCAGGAATAAAAAATCATCAAATTCAATTAATCGTTCCCAACCCTCACGGGGCCATTGTCACTCGACGCATTGTGTTTCCCATCCATTATTAGTTATCAAAAAATTCACGGTTGAAATTAATTGTGTGACGATTCAATGGCTGCATGATTTTTTGCAAATAAAAAAAATAACTGATATTTATTGTGGGAAAATAAATATTTACGGCTGGCAAATTTCCCCTGCACTCAAAAAACATGTTAAATAAAACAGATAATTCTGGAACAAAAAATTATCCTGATATTTTTCGATGAATTATAAAATAGGAAATATAAATAATAGTAGTATCAATCGTTAAAATTCCTCGAATAATTTAAATCCAGAAAAAATGCTGACAACAATCGACTCGTTTCTCGCAACTTTTCCATTTTCCATTATATTTGTTTACAACTCTCTTTGAGTTTAGCGTTATTATTCCCCCACCAGAGTCCCGCAGTGAGAATGCAAGAGAGATTACCACTTTGTGGGAATTTTCCTTTTTTCCATTCATCTCTATTAAACAGAATTTAATTCGTAAATCGTTGTTTAACGCGGGAATTCTCACGGTTTAAGAGTTGTTTATGGGATTATTTTTCTTGGGTTTTCAAATTAGTGAATAGCAAGGGGTATTAATAGTCGTACACATGTGGTAATAATGTTGCATTGGTGACTCTCCCGAGGAATTACGAGTTAGATAGGAGTAAGATATAGATAGGATTTTATCGGCGAGTCACACGTGTGCTACCGTATATACTGGAATATAACGTCACTCGTATATACATTTTCTGGGGCTTTTTATTATCATTAAAGGGTGTTTCTACAAACACCTTGTGTTACTACTTAAGTGTGTCTGATCACTTCGCACCTGTTTCCACTTGTCAAGATTTCGTTTAATTCATTTTGCCTCTCAGCATCTTCCGGGGGCATGATGTAATTATTATCATTAATTCGGATGACTTCAATAGCAACAAAATCAAATATAATCGTCGGAAAGTTCACAAAGTATTTCCCTTTTTTAAAAAACAGGTCCAGTTTCACGAGTCCATTTACGGATTAATGAACTCCTAATGAAAAACGAGAGATCAGCGTGTTTATTTTATTAATTACTTTTTTTGGATGACACGATAATTTGCAGTGCAATTTTTATTGGTAGTGGATATTGTTCAGTAGATTTGGTTTTAATAATCCGGGCAATTGGTGAATTCTCGGTAAACGATATATTGTACCATTGATTATGTTCTGATTGGGATTCTGTGAGGTTTGATTTCACTCTTTTTCAATGATACAATGAAACACAGAACTAAAATTGCTGTGAAAATCATGATGATTCGATCGTCCTCAGCAATTACTGGATTTTTCAAAGAGTATTGAGGTGTGAATTAACCTCGGGATTCATTCGGATGCGTGTGTTCTCATTTTACTCGTCTCCAATGAAATCACGACACGCAGAATAAAAATTCCAGTGAAAAGTCCACTTGCTTCAATCATTTCTCCCAATTAAACAATTTTTTCAAACACGTATTAAACCGTTAATTGACCTCTATCTGTTTGATTCAACAGCCGACTCTTCATTCCTCTCACAATTCCATAATAAAATCTCTCAATAGCAGAACAACAATTTAAACAAAAATGAATGAATAAATCCGCTTGATTAAATCATAATTCCCCTCATTACACTATTCCCCGAATTTTTTATAAACTCCAATTGAGCCATTAATCCACCTCTACGTGCTATATTAAAATCCACGAGATTCCATTTCACTCGTCTCAAATCACTCCACAGAACACAAATTTCAGCAACAACAATACTAACTCAATTATTCTCAGCCATTCCACATTTCCCGGATTCCCTGAACAAATCGAATTCAATCATTAATCGCCTTAAACTCGATCCCCTCGACAGGCGCTCTTCTCTTCCAAGCCACACAAAAGAAGTTCACGACGGGAGAAATAAAAAAAAAAATCACTCCATATTACTACTTCATAATTCTCATGTTCCCCCTGAAATCCCCCTCCAGCCACTTCCTCCCGCCGCCCTTCGTTAAATACTTTCAATGAATCGCGCCTCCCCTCACCCCATCCCCCCCCCCCAAAAAAACCCATCCCCGTCATTTTTTCTCATTGCCCCTATCCTCCGAGCGGAATTTAATATCCCCCTATTGTAGCACACAAATAGTTTATCTCCAGAGAACAGTTTGGATAGCGGAATTGTTAGATGAACAACAATTTTCATGTGAGAAGCACTGAAAAGTATGAGAAGGGTTGAGTCGATTGGAGCGAGACCGAGGTATGGAATACCGAGACGTCTATTCAACTACTCCATTGTGGTATCGGATCCACCTGAGTGATAGAAAACGTGAAACAACCAAAAGAGGAAAGGAGAAACAAAAAGCGGCACGCTCACTTGGTACAGACGAATAATTTTAGATTCATCGTGATGCAACGGGGCGAACGACTTGTAATTCTTTCCCATCGTTCCTCTCCCCACTGTCCCCCCTTCTCCCCTCTGCCTCCTCAGCTGCCTCGTGCCTCATCCATACCATCACCCCTCCCCCTTCCCATTCCAATTCTTAATTTTTTTTTTCCATCCACTCTCACCCGCCGTCCTCCCCC